AACAGGTATTTTTAAGAATAGGTCCCCTTCGTCAATCTCCAGACTGATGACTTATCCTTAGCTACAATGCTTGCCACTCGGCCACGCATTGCCAGTTGTTACTTAACTGTAGTAACGCTTCGACCTCCTGACTATTAGTGCCGCCTTGTTCAGCTTCATCTATCCCCCCCATGCAGCCTTGTCATAAACATTCTCAACAATTTGCTTAGGTATTCACCTAAGCTCAAACATCAGTCAACCCGTAACAGTTCCCTTCTTTCTTGAGCCCTCGGTGGACTAGGGTAGCTGGGGCGTACAGGGAAAGTTGGCGGAGTGCTCGCTGGGCCTGATTGTACTAACTGGACAATAGCTGCTCGAAGGTAGACTTTGATACTGTCTACAAACTCTTTTTCTTCGCCAATCAAAAGAGGCGAAAAAACTACTTCAACACTGCTTATTGCATTGGAACAGATTGCTAGACGGGCCTTGATTTGCGTTGTGCAACGCTTTTCGGCCTCCATCACTGATTACAGCTCCGGAGGATATTCCGGTGCTGATGTTGAAGCTGTGCCTTTTGAAGCCGGCACAGCGAATTTTCTTGCAAACTTTTCTGCGTGTTCTGTCGTCTTCTCTCGGACGACTTCCTTTCCTTTCCTCAAAGTTTTTGCCTCTGGGGCAAGCTTGATGAGAATGTTGGCCTCGTGACCAATTTTTACAGACCTGACAGGCTCAGAATCTATCATTTCTTTGTCGGGAAGGTTTGGAGACTTCCCTTCGACGAAGGCCTCATGTCAGAGGAAAGCTAAGAATGATATAGTTGGGTCTGAATCATGAGCTATATTTAATCTAAAGAGAGAAAGTTCTATGTACACGAAATTATCATACAAACTGTGTGCCGAGGCCGGAAGATTATCAGCCGAGCCTAACCAGATCAAGATGAGTATGATTAGGCGAGCGCATGCTTAGTACAGTTCACAACTGTTACACCTCACTCGCAAACATGCTTGATAAATTTTGCGCGAGGCCAGGTGTTTATGCGGGAGCCCTTGGGTGGACTCTTGCGTTGGTGAGCTTTTTTCGAATAGGTGGCATGATGAAAATGCCAGCAACTCAATCACAATTTATTGAGAGAATGCGACAAGCGCAAGAGGGAGGGAGAGAGGGAAAAAGCGAAGAATCGAATTTTCGAATTTCGAAATATTGTGTATGTGTCATTGTTTATTGTCCTTTGACGAAGCCTATGACTATATAAGGACATTTAGGTCCTTTCTGACTTCAGGGCGGGAGTATCTATGCCTTCTTCACGACTTTTTTCCGACAGTTATGCCCCAATTGGTCTTCATTTGAGTACACAGTAAGGGGACCCATTATCCCGTAACTCTCTACTCTCTCCAGTCAATAATACGATGGCAATTTGTGGATATGTAGCTGCAGGTAAATATCTCAAAAACCACTGGGTGCGGAGCTCTCCTGTGACAGAGATCGGCCAGCCGGGCGCAGCAGATCTGCGTAAACCTAAAAGCGTCTCTTAACCTTCCTAGTCTCCCACTTACACCTCCCTTGATTTATGCTGCAGGCCAAAGTGAAGGCCATGAAAAGGTGTCAAAAAAGTCTTGGTCAAGAGTGACTTCCGTGAAAGAGCCTAGCCCAGCATCCAAAAGTCGTTATGGACGTGGGGATATCGGGTAACTCGTGCGTTTCAGATTACCTCCTAGCTATTAGATTCGAAATTGTAGGTTAGAAGAGACGATATTATAGACGAGTCGAAATCTAACTTTCTTGAGTGCGGAAGGGTTTTTTACTTTACTTTCGTGGGCTTTTTGTTCGCCTGTAGATGGGTAGCATGTTTGATGATGTGACAAGGACCTCTCTAACTATCGTTGTAGCTCTTGATACCGTGATTTCTTTCCTCACTCCAAGTATCACAATCTTAGTCTTGATTATCTTTTGTCTTATCGGAAGCTTATCTTTGAGGGAGGGGAATATAACTCAGCACAAAGTTAAAAAGTTGTTACTAAATCTAGGCTCTGTAGGCTTTACAGTGAGAGCTGGAGCTTCATAGAAGGCACCACTGACCGGTCTTGAGTTTTCGTCCCCCAATTGCAAAATTTACTAGTAGGACCAATAAATAGGTCACACTGATACTCTCATGGCTGAAAATAAGTGCAAGGTTTCTGATCACCTATTAAAGATGATGCAGTCCTCAGATTTGCGAGCAAAACAGGGCCAGTAGAGGGCTATGATATGGAATTTATGCTGGTAACCATATATTCTGAGTCGCATAGTCACCTGTCAACCCAAGATGGGAAACTACTGCTTCGGGTTATGTGAGAATTATGTACCACAGTGACTCGATGTTTCAAGGAATAATGTTTCAGAAATTATGAGGTAAGTGTTGCTTCAAGAGTATTCTTTCAGATTCACGAAGTATAGGAAGAGGTGAAGTTCATTCCAAAAAACCCTGGCAAGTTGTATCAGCAGGGTGCCTCATATTATGAAAAAGTACACAGTGCACTTACCAGGAGTTTATTCGAGCGGTCTTAGAAGAATCTGGCCCTCTCCTGTCTTACTTTTGTAGGATACAGTAAACCACAGATCCTGAGCTTCTTTTCAAATTATTATATGTGCTTTTCGCTATCTAGCTATGGCACATGATCAGTGTTATGTAAATATATCGGACAACTATTTTGACTTCCAAGAACCTTAAACTATAGATATTAATTGAAATAAAAATATGAGTTATATTTTTTTACACTTAGTCGGCCCTCTTGCGAAATCTTCTACAATAGGGATGTTTCAAAGCCTTCAGTTATTCAGGCATGCCTTCATCTCCATACACACCAACACAGCGAGAAATATGTATCAATCTTGCTGTATATGAACCAATCATCTCATGCTTGAAGTGGGATAGGCGTCCAAGCTATCTAGGTATTACTTGGGAGACCGACCTAGATATTTTACCAATGCAAAATTCAGGCATGCTGGTCTTTATAGTGTTGCCTGCACTATCACAATAAAAGCCGTGTAGTGCACAAGGCTCAACGTGAAATTCTCGTTTCCAAAAATCGGTATCACCTTCTAAGATTTTATCCACCCTTTGCAGCACCTTGTCCACTTGTCTTGGGGGACTATTCTCAACACCTGCCAGTGGAATCTCCTACGAACCTCCAGCTCTCACTGTAGAGTCTACAGAGCCGAGATTGAGTAACAAAGTCCTCACTCCGACGAGGATTCCCAATCGCTTTCGCCGTCTGTATCGTCTTCATCTCTCAACACATTCCCCTATCACCATTATCATGAAGCTAACCACGATCAGATCAGATGGTAGGGTCGGAGCTCTACTCATCACCAAACCTTGATCATGGAGTAAAAGCCATCCGATAGGTTTCCGGAGCGTACCCAGCACCCGATACGGAGATGGTGGATTGGGTCAAGTCGGCCTTGACTGTTACAAAGAAGGGAGATGTAGATGAATATGCGCACCTCATGTGGTCCCGGTGCCTAGGCCTCGCCTTGCTGGGGCTGCATGTTTTTTGAGACTTTTTCCCGCGCACGCAGTCTCCATTGTTACCATTTTTATTTTTTTTTGGGTAGAAGGTTTCGTGGAAAAGGTGGCCAAATTCTACTGGTAAAAACTGAGCTAAATGGCTGTTCATCACGGGCAATGTATCAATGATCTTTCAAGAAACATGAGAGGCAAGGAGCACTGTACAAGTTGTGGCCTGGGTCAGGGAGGAGCTCAATGTGCTAGATAGTCATAGACTCAAGTAGTACAATAAAAATCACTCACTCACTCCACTTGTCTTGACCTCTCTCATGTCCACAACGAAGATTCATCTCCAGGGTTTATGTGGCACGATTGGTCTGTTTCAGGTTTTGATATAGTTGTGGGCATATATTTGGAGGCATCTAAGGCCAAAGACTGGGTTGGCGAGGGGTGTAATCATTGAAAGGAGGATGTACTAGATCGTGCTGGTAAACTTGATAAACTTTGCGTGGTAATAGACATCGGTGGGATTAAGAGATTGATTTAGTGGAGAATCTTGAATCATTACCTCGAGAACCAACTTCTTTAGTGTTACGAATTTTGACTGAAATTGACCCTGAGATAATACTTTCCTTTGAAGTTCGTAGAGGACATCGCAGAATGGTATCAAGACCTTGATCTGATAATATTTTAAGTAGGTAGAAAAGAATTGGTGCTAGTTGTTGGCGCGCCCAACCTTGGCTAAAATTTCTACACAAGTAGAAGATGGTCACTTTCGATATGTTTCCTGCATATTTAGCTCCACTCGCGACGGATGTTAATATTTCCAAAAAAAATAAACTGCCGCCCCTTATGATTGAAATGCAGCCCTGTGTGAAGTATTAAACGGGAACTATAAATTATGCATTTCCACACAATGTTAGCAAACTTCACCCTAACATTTACGCTTAGAGTGATTCACATCTCTTGATTACCTGTGAGTTCTCCGGGGGATACTAATACAATCACAATGACGAATATATTGCGGTTCCAATAATGTCAAGCCGATGTCTCTCGTCAGGGTGGATTCATGCACTACATGAATACTTTCTAGACTAGGGTTATATTTGAAAGCTCTGGACGCTCGTTAATAGGTGTGATCGTTTGACCATGATCTAACTTGTAGATTTTTTGGATATTTCGCATTTGCCATGTTTCACTTGCTAATCATCCAGGGACTCGATGTCCTGTTTAGATTCTTAACGACAGTCCTGCATGATACTTCCAGCAATCTGGAAGACTATAAAACGTCACTAAGCCACATGTAATGTAGTGCAAACACTTAGTTTTATCCGTAGGCCCACGTAATTATGAGACTTTTTGGACGACAGCAAACAGCTTATGCCTCTACCTCATCCCAAGACCTACTAAACTTTTAGGACCTTAATGAACCGTAACATCATAGAGTTTAAATTGGCATGCAGTTTTTTGGTACAAGGCTAAATAGTGATACCTTTTTACGCATGCGTCATGCGCATCTTCCATTGCAATTTCATTAGTTACGCGAAAACAATCTACCAAACATGCCGCCCGCTATATTTCCTGCAAATCCGCTTGATAGCATCGCGCTGCCCGCAATGTTGGATGCTTGGCTGAATTTATCACACCTAGAAAATGCCAGCGTATTCGTGAAGGCTAAGCAAAGCGCGATTACTGTGAAATCATAGTCTGTCAAAACCTGTTGCCCTAAACGAGGAATATGCGCCTAGCTTACCGACCAGAGTGAGCCATATAAATTCAAAACTGAATATAGCTAGGAAAGCAAGGGCGATCCAAAGTATAGGTTGTGTGTATAGAGCTATCCAAAAGAACCGACTATCTGTTGCATTTATCACTTTAGTAGCAGGATCAGCGCTTTCAAAAACCCAATGTGAATCTCCAGTTTGCGTGTTTACTTCATTCCACCAGCGAAGGCCGACTAGGCGTCTCCCAGCGATGTTTTTGAGGTAATAAAAGTCGGCGGCGAGAAGTAAGATGGTAACAATAAAGATAAGTACACTTGCGAGGTTAGCAATAACACTTCGACACTGTAATAAATGCTTGAAGCCGACGGACACCGCATGCAATAACTTACAAGTTTTGTGTAAAAATTAAACCAAATAAATACACTAGAAGAGAAGCTGAAGGCCGAGGAATCAGCTTAGTGATCCCTTTTGTTGAAAAAGATACCTACCGATCCGGAAGCCAAGAAAACATAACAATGTAATGGGGTGAGAGCTGAGTTTCCAGCTTAAGCTCCCCGGCTGTTGGCTTTGGTCCATTTTGTAGGAGGCAGTCTGGATTACTTTGATGCCGTCGCGAGGGTGCAACTGTCCTGTATCAACTAGCTTGGATAACTTCTAGCCTCACGCTAGGCTCCCTATAATTAAATACATCACGTGGGCCAGCTAAATTTTTTGGATATACGTTACCAACCCCATAGCTTGGTTTATACCATTTTTCTGTTTAGTCATCCTTTAATTATCATCTTTCATTCTAAGTCTTGGAATTTATGTGAGACGTGGGCACTAACTGTCCATAGGCTAAGTACATTTTTGCCTTGAGTAGTAAATCCTCTCCTATGCCTCGTTTAAGGGTCAAATCCAACAGTACGACAACTCAGGCCTTCCATCGACCATAAAAATTGGTTTATTTTTTGCCCTTTATCATGTTCCGTTTCTGACAAATAAAATGAAAGCTCTCAGTAACTATATGGTAATCGGAAGAGACTGCAAAAACCTTTGGATGCTATGCGCCCTAGTGCCCAAACTATGGCCATAACCATTAGGCCAACTGAACTACAAAATGCACAGATTCAGCTATAGTGCTGTCATAATATCTGAACAGGTGTGCGAAGACTGAACACCTGTCAGTGATATCCTCTAAGGAGGGCAAGACTGAACACCTGTACGCGGTGTCCTCTACGAACCTGGGAGTGAAATATTCTCCCGGTGCCAAGTTCAGTCAAATTTCGCAATATCAAAGAAGTTGGCCCACGAGGCAATGATTCAAATTACTCCACCACGTCGTTTTTTTCGCTCCCAACGAGTTTGAATCCTACCTAAACTTCACCAAGTCTACAAGTACGACCGAGTACATCCTCATTCCAATGACCACACCTCTCTTCGATCTTCTCTGGCCTCAGCTGGTCACCAAATACACGCCCACGCCGATATTTATACCCGACGGAGGAAGGAAAGCGTGGCGCACAAATCTGGGAGACAGTTCTTTGGGATAGACGTGAGAGGGATCAGGACAAGTTCACTCGATGATGTGAAGGAAGGATATAACCTCGAAGGGCGTGAGATTCCGAACTTTGGCAAGGATTTTTACGAATTGGGCTTTGTACGCGCCAATACTTCGCTTGCGAGAGTGCAGCTCACACTATAAAAACTAGCAAACGATGGAAGGTGTAGTGGTCCGCCTCCTGGTGGTGTTCTCCGGTATAGTTTGAGTAGCCTGGGCACCTACTCCACTTGGGAAGGAAACGCCTAAGACCATATTTCGCGCGGAGGAAAGTTGAAAGATGATGGAGGCACGTCCGGATAACTCAGGGTTTTTGAGACGTTCCCCTGGGTGGGTATTCACGGATAAGAGTTGACTTGGGGTGAAGAAAAAGCCGCCATAACTTCGCAGTGGTACTTGGAAATGAAATCCGAGGCATGAGTGCTCTTCCTTTACGTTGAATCATCTATTCTGTACTTTTCTTTGATATCGTGTCATAGCTAGATAGCTGCATACGCATTTAAAATCTGATGCAAAAAAAAGGTCACTTCCCACCCAGCTCATTCTTCGCCAGACAGTAACACCTGCTTGTAGTTAGGAATTGGAAAAACTTCTGCCATCCCTTCTCCCCTATCATCTCCTTGGCTCCAGGCGGGGCCAATTTCTCACAGCTTCTCCAACGTTGGAAAGCAGGTCGGCACTCTGAAAAATGCCAGGGCCTTTTCTCTCGGCCGCAAACGCATTTCCGATCTTCATGTTCGTGATTGAAACGTCGATGGTAGTCGGTGTTATTCTCGTGGCTAGTTCATACCGCAATTAGACGGTGGAACGCACATCTTGGTAGAGCCAGTTCCGGTGGCTGTTCGCAGCGCATGAAGAAGTCTGGATCTTTGTATCGTTCCGGCCGAAACTTCTGCCACCATTCTTCCACGAGTTCTTGACCCCGCATTTTAACTAGTCTCCCTAGTGCCGCAAAGGTTGGATTTGGAGATTCTCCACTGAGCAAAGCAGTACTTTGTGATGCTTCCGATTCTTTGTTTGGTACCTTTTAAATTAGGCATCACTTTATTTGCCTGTAAGTTTAGTCCGTTTAATACGTCATTCATGATAACACATACAGGTATTAACTTTGCCTTTTTAGCAGAGTACTCTGACATGCCACTTAGAATCACGCCACACACTGCCTCAGCTATCGAACTCCAAACTAAATGAAAATTTGGAGGAAGTGGTAATCTCTAATGATTATTGACCCGTCATTCGAAGAGCACCATGTCGACAAAAGATAAGGAGCTAGAACTTTGTGGAAAGGTGGAGATGCGTATAGCGTTAGCAAAAGATGATAGGTTGGAATCCATCCTCAAGCCTTACCTAGCCCCTCTACTATTGAAACTTGCAAGTGAGCATGTTTCTGTCCGAAATAAGGTGTGCTGGGGATTTTTATAACTCAGTATGCTGTAATAACTGAATTAGGTCATCTCAATATGTCAACATATCAAAATACGGCTCGCTGGCAATCAGTATGTATATTCAATTAATTTTCACTGCTAGCACCATTGATCTGGCTTGAAAAAAATGTCAAGCTACTCCATTTGGGGAGACGTTTCTACGTATGGCATATTTTCTGACTAGAATTAGGAATATTGTCCTTCCTGTTGCTATTTTGCTCAAACAATACAAAGAAAATGCAGGAAACTCAACCATACGGCAGTTTGATCTGATGTTCATTCAGCAGAGTATCAAGAAGCTGTCTTTTGAGGTAAGCTTATAATGTGGATTTGTTGTCAATCAAATCATCTTTGACTTTATTGCAGGAGCAGCAGGAACTAATCCCAATTATTATTAAAGACCTTAGCAACGAATATGGGAGCCTTACTTGCTCTATGATGTTCAATCTATTTCTTCGACTACTCTCAAATGCATACATCCCACTTCGAGGGAGTAAAGATGATACAGACCTCCGCAACAAACTTGGTCTTGCAAAGAATGATGTTGACGCCAAATTTATCGCTTTATGGCTCGGAAAACTTATTCTTTTGAACATTTATCCTTCGGGAGCAGCTGGAGTCAGCCATTCTGGACTAACAACCTCCGATTACGAGTTTTTAACAATCAACTATAAGCAGGGCGTGTGGGACGCAACCTCAAATGAAGGCTTAAATTTGACACAGACTAAAGTAATTGCACTTCAATTCTTAGCAAGTGGTGCGTTTTCTGATAAAGAGCGATTTTTCCCTGCATTTTTTGCATCTGGGGACGGTAATTCATCCATTTCCAGCATTGGAATCGATTTACTTAAGCGCTCGTCAGCTTCAATGGAAGACCCCGAGATAATATCATACCTACTAGATATATATTTCTCCCTCAGGAAAGCGCTCCAGACAAGAGTCTTGATATTGCTGAATAAATCTATTTTATCTACAACTTTCCCTTTCAAGATTGTCCAGATAGTTCGAGACGCCATACGACCAGATAATACTACCAATACTCCGGTCAAGGGTCTTGAGACAATGAAATTTCGGAATGCCCTACTTAGCTACTTGAACTGGATGTCACAGGTTGCGTCGAAAGAGGATCTAGCTTCCGCTGCACCACAACTTGTCGAACTTCTTCAAAGTTACATCGAAGACCAGGGATGGCCTGTACCTGTTGGTAAAACATCTGACATCTTATCTCTTCGAGCCTTAGCATACGAGACGCTTGGCTCTTTAGCTAAGACAACCCCATCTCTTGTCCTCAAGAAGGATCTAGGAATTGTAAGATGGCTTTACAAATCTCTAACTGAGGAAATTTCATGCCTCGAAGTTATCGTAAGTATCGAAAGTGCGCTCTCTATGATACGGAGTGCATTCAAAATTCCACTCGACTCGACTTTGCGTGATGAGCTGCGAGGCCTGCTGCTCAAATATATGATTCTACAAGAGGGCGGCGCTATTGTTCGATCTGCACTCTTTTCAACTGTACGTTGGGCAAATTATTGCTTAGAATATAATGATATTGTTGGGCGCTGGATCAACATACTAGCTATTGGGAGTTCTGATAACGAACGTAGCGATATTGTTGAGGAAGGAAAAAAAGGCCTTGTGAGTCCAGAATCAAACTTTTCTAAGGTCCGGCATTAATAACTAACAGGATCCTTACCAATATCGGATATTAAATCCATCACAAAATTCTTTGAAGGATAATTTCCCAGATTGGAGAAAGTCTGTAAAGGTGTTTTTTTCATCTGAGTGTATTCTTGAGAATTCAGTTACAGCTAACAGTCTTAAGACTGGTATGTCTATTGATTCTGTATCAGTTTTTGGTAACTTCTCCGGGCAGAGGATCAATGCTTTCGCTCCAGCTGTGACTTATTGCGCACAAATTCTTTTTTTGACAGCTCTAAGAAACTCTGCTATTTCTCTCACCGTAAATTCAGACTGGGAACGACAACTCTGCACTCTTTTTAATTCTGATAAACGAACATTGGAAGCTATTAGAACGTACGTGAGACTTGTAGATCAAGATGCACTGCAAACAATGTTAACAGCTGCCTTTGAAGGTATGCTTTGGAATGATGGTAACGGACTTCCAAACTGTGGCAAATGTTTTCTTGATATTATAAAAGTATCACCAAAAACAGCCATTGAAAAACTTTCTGGGCGAGCTTTCCAACTTCTTGCGTTAATCAAGTCAAATAATATCGCCACACGCTACATAGGGGCACAGTCATATGGCATCCTTATTTCTCACCCAGGAAACGAGAAAGAAGTAGTTATCGAGGCATTGCAATCACTGTTAACTGGAATTTCACAGTGGGAGACAGCGTTTGGTGCAGATGCAAATAAGGTACATGGTTACTTGCTCACACTAGGCTTCGTTCTAAGCAGACTATCTTTCTTTGATCGAAAAGATGTACTTAGTGATGCCCTAATAAAAAGATGCTGTCTAGCTTTAGTAGAAATTCTACAAGCCGCTAAGGATAGCTCTACAAAAGAAGCTGTGTCAATTGCAGTAGGAGAAATCAGTGCTGCGGGACAACTTTGCCCTTCACAGCTCGAAGATATGGGCTCCAAGGTAATTAAGATACTTGTTGCAGCAGCTAAGACTGGGGACGAGAAATCTATTTCAGCTTTAGGACGATTCTCACTAGTATTTGCAGATAACATGGCTGGAGAGTGTGGCATTGAGGCTCCTCTCTTTTCCATCCTTACTGGCCTCTATGAACTCTCTGATTTGAAACAAACTGAGATACAATTCACAGTAGGTGAAGCAATCAGCTGCCTAACTGCATGTTGGGAATCTGACGTTCTTATACTTGGTATGGATGTCGATACAACATACACCGGGCATCCTAGGCGTAAAGAATTACTAGACTCGGTTCTACAAAAGTTGATTGGAGGCTGTAAAGCCACTAAACCTTCTCTTAAGAAGGCTTCAGGAATATGGCTTTTTTCTCTGATCCAACATTGTGGACACCTAGAAGAAATTCAGAATAGACTCAGGGAATGTCAAGTGGCTTTTATGAGGCTGCTTTCCGCCCGAGATGAGGTAGTTCAAGAAACTGCCTCACGAGGCCTCAGCCTTGTTTATGAACAAGGAGATGCATGTTTAAAGGAAAGCCTTGTAAAAGATCTCATTTCTTCATTCACAGAGACTAGCACTCGTCTTAAGGTTGATGACGATACGGAATTATTTGATCCTGGTGCATTACCAACAGGTGAGGGAAATTCGGTTACTTCCTATAAAGATATTATATCATTGGCAAATGAAGTTGGAGACCAGACGCTTGTATACAAGTTCATGTCCTTGGCGTCAAATGCAGCGACCTGGACAACACGAGCTGCCTTTGGCCGATATGGGTTAAGTAGCATTCTCTCAGATTCTGAGATCGACTCTAAGCTGTGTTGTAAGCTCTACAGGTATCGTTTCGATCCTAACCCAAACGTCCGGCGTAGTATGGATGATATCTGGAAAGCAATTATCAAGGATCCTAGTGCGACCATAAAATTGTATTGCAAAGATATAATTTCCGATTTGTTGCAAAGTATATTAGGCAAGGAGTGGAGAACAAGACAAGCAAGCTGTGCGGCTCTTGCTAGTCTCATACAAGGACGTGAATTTGAAGATTACGATAATTACCTACCTAAAATATGGCATGTTGCATTCAAGGTACTCGATGATATTAAAGGGTCTGTAAGAGAAGCAGCCCATGCGTTAAGTGTTGTATTGACTAATACTCTCGTACGACAAGTTGAATCTGGTACTATTTCCAAGCACTCACAGTCAATCCTAAAGGAAGTTATACCCTTTCTTTTATCTGAAAAGGGAATGGAGAGCTCTGCTCAAGACGTCAGAGTATTTTCAATAGTCACAATTATAAGACTCACCAAGAAAGGAGGGAAGACTATCCTAACCTTTATCCCAGATTTGGTCGAAAAATTGCTGCTTTTTCTTAGCTCCGTAGAACCACAGGAAGTCAATTATTTATACCAAAGAGCAACAGAACACCGAGATAAAATAGATCAAATGAGGTCAAACAATGTATCGCATTCACCGCTCATGGAAGCGATTGATTGCTGTTTAGACGCCCTAGATGAACCAACGATGGCCAATCTAGCATCTCGCCTTCAACTTTGTATCAAGACCATGATTGGAATGCCCTCTAAGATTGGATGTGCAAGTGTGCTCAGTAACCTTGCGACTAGACATTCTTACATATTTCGCTCTCACGCAGATGTATTTCTAAAATGCATGGAGAAGGCGGTGTTAGATCCAAACAGTACGGTCAGTGTTGCTTATGCTAAATCTATGGGATATATATCGCGACTAGTTAGTGACGAAGTGCTTTTGAATTTGGCATCCTACATCCAAACCCTTTACTTAAGTGCTGAAGACGAGACCCAGCGTATCATATCGGGAGAAATTGTATACGCAGTGGCTAAATTTTCCACTGACAGATTCAACTCTCTAGCTTCTAGCTTCCTACCGTTCGTATTCTTTGCCTCTCATGATTTAGACTCTGAGATCAGGGAGCACTTTAAAAAAACGTGGAATGAGAGTATTGGGGGCAGTCGTGCAGTAATGTTGTACTCAAAAGAGATAATTCAACTTTCAACCAAATTACTAGATTCGCCCATGTGGTCAACGAAACACGCTGCAGCTTTTACTGTCGCTCATGTTATTCAATCATCGGGCTCAGAAATTACTGGCTTGGATGCTGTAATGATATGGGATGCATTGGAAAAAGCACTCGTACTGAAAACATTCGAGGGCAAAGAAAAAATACTTCAAGCATTTGTTAAGTTTGTTAAGTCTGGAAGATTAATGTGGGAAAAGGATGAAGCTATTGCTGCACAGATGAGGAAAATCGTGCTCCGAGAGGCTCGGCGAAATAATGAGGTCTACCGACCGCATGCCTTTGCTTGCCTTGGTGACTTCTGTGAGGTTCGACGCGATATTGATATGTATGACGAGATTTTTCAAATAATCACATCTTTCATTGCAGGCTTAGACTCGAACCCCAAGTCGCAAGATTCTTCCATTGAGATAGAGAAAGATCGCGGGTCATTTTCCACGTCAGCCAACTTAGTAGCCGGTATCTCATCAGTTTTTCGAGCAATTAATTTTACACTGGCTGAGTCGCCAGTACATCAATACCTGCCACGTCTACTACAACTCGTACAAGATGTAACACACTCGCTTCTTATTACCGAGTCAGTAAGATTTGCTATTTTTGAGAGTACAAGAAACCTCTTTGACATCCTACGACAGCATGCTGGGACAGTCAACCAGAGTTCTGCACTTATGGGACTCGGACTGGAGTTCTTTACCGTGCTTAATCTTCCTCAAGATTTAGGAAGTGAGGCAACTAGGCTCAAGAGGGCAGAGGCAGCTGATATGATAGTACAGTCTTTAGTGGCTGGGGGACAAGGAAATTTGAGTGAAAGCTGGACTGAGTGTAGAATGAAGATGATAGAAACTTTAAAGCTGAGTCAGGCACATGAGCGCTCTGCAGGGGTAACAGCAGTATTTGATCAGCTAAAGCGGCGATTGGAGTCCATCTAATTTGTACCAGTGGAAAATACTGGTCTACTCAAATACTTAATTACCACCAGGTACTCGGGGCACTGCTGAATAATAGCGCATGGAATTAGGTAGATGACCTCGCAGTAGAAACTCGTATTATCAGAAACTAGTTTACAGAGCCCTATTTTAAATCACAAATGTCCAAGCAAACTAGCATTTTAATAGGTGTTAAGGACTGAGTGAAGTTGAGGCAAAATAATTGCAAACAAGTGAGTATGAGAGCCACTCGGACGCCGAGGGACAGCTTGGCCAGGCTAGCGTGGCAACAGGCGTCCTGTTGTATGTGTACGCAAGAAAAGTAGCCTTGGCTTCGCTACTTTTCCACGAGGCGACCATGAGCGAATCGGAGCCTGAGCGGGAGTTCCCGACGCAGCGTGTAGAGAATGTTAGGAGCATTGGATGCAGGAGGCGCCCAATACGTTGTTGGAGTGGCGGTAGCAGAAACGTTCTTCTGCAGTTACTGCTGAGTGGCGGCCTGATTACGGTGTGGAGCAAAGCATAAAAGGAGCATAATTGCGATGTTAATGGCGATGAGCCATTTAGCGCACTTCCATTTCTAGACGTGGCTGCATAACTCGGCGAGTGCCTCAAGGGCCTAGGCTGCCGCCATAAGGCCGCAGCAGACCGACCGGCGGGCAGTCTAAGAGGATCAACCGCAGGATCAATGTTAGCCCTGGTCTACACCAGCAGCTCAAGTCTGCAGTCAGATCAAGCAAGCGTCCGATTTGCCAGAGACGGCGAGTAACATGAGCGCCTCTACTACCAGCATACCAAGAGTCGAGGGCAGTGTTGGCGCTTCGCATCGCCGTAGCCATAACCAGAGCGATGCGGAGCAGCCGCGGTCCCTGGAATGTAGCCGACATAACTGGGGTCGAGCTGCAGCTATTATTTTTTTCTGCGGCCCTGCCACGACCCGCTATGCGACCGTTGTTTTTCAGACCCTCCTGCTCTGTCTGCGCTCGCAGCCCACAGTCTTGGCACCAGATCACCAGCAATTGAAGTTAGGGCAGTAGCGGGCCGGCTGGCCGCGCCTTACGCTCGCCGTCAGAGGCCGCCCACAGCTCTCGTAACAAATAACGCGCACTCGCAGCCTCGTTGCCAAACTCACGGGCGCGAGCGCTGCATAATTCTAAAAGGTCTGGGTCTAATGGGAAGTCCCGGAGGAGGAAGTGTTCGTCGTACGAATACGCAGACAAGCACCCTCATGGCGAGGGTACGAGTCCAATGGGCACCTGCTCACGTCGACAATGGTGCGGTGTGCTGACCTGAGCGTTATGTGAGCTTAAGTGTATTTATAAGTTGACAGCGACAACAGGCCTACATGTGGTGATGACCACTTGATTTTACGAGCTACAGCGGCACTAGCTACTTCTTAATTCCACAACTCGCGGCATCAAAAGATTTATCGCGCAGAAAATGCCTAGTCTGACTCACAGGGTGGAAGTCAAGACAAACATCTTGCTCCAGGCATTACAACGCTTCTCACCATCCTAGCCCTTCTGATACCCCTCCCTAACCTTAACCTTAGTCCACTTACCAACCAACATAATTGCTCATCCGTCAATGTCCGTTGGCAGCAGTGCTACCAAAGTGGTCCAACACCAACAAAAAAGTCTCTGTACGTGAGGGAGTACTTTTCTACACCACCCGCTTGGAACCAAAAATTTCCTTATCTCACTGGTCGCCTACTTTTAGACCTCTGCGCATGTATGTGTATTCTGTTACGCCAACTTTCCAGGCAACTCTGCTCTGCATTAATAGTGCCGTCTGTTTGTAGATGCGTGCAGCGCTTACTTACAGAGCACCATTGTGCAGGTCTTCAATACCAGTCCCGAGTACAGTGGCTACTGTAAGTACAATATGATAACAGTTGGACCTTAGAGGACAAAGGGGATCGTCATTTTTCTGGGGTACCGGGGTCTCTCGGAAGTTTCAATAGTAACCCCTAGTCCCGATGCATATTCGCCGTAGCGAGATAAGTAAAAAATTTACCATATCCAAGGGCAGCTGACGAACCAATCACAGAGATAATATTTTAACATCATAGCCTTCCGCCAACTTAAATGACTAATGGTCGAGAAGATTCGAGCCCAGCTGTAATCAACATCCTTCAAATACATGATGGAATGTGGATGCTTGTGCCAATATGATTATTCGTTGGGGTGCAAGATGACAAGGCTCTACAGGCGTTGCTGGGACTGACACGATTGAGCATCATACCGATTGTGAGCACCAGCTTAGATTCAATTAGTTCAAGAACCCCTACAGGCAAATTACGTAACTTTTGTAGTTTTGTCGCCGGTTCGAACTTGTGAGGATACTGCAGGTGGGGCTAATTCCACGAATTAGAAACGCTACTATTACTCTGGTAGCTTTGATCTGCGGGAATAGAAAACTGCATTGTGGACCAGTCTAGGAAGCCTCCCACTCATGCCCGTGATCGTAATTCCTTGAGCCTTGAAGAGCGTGACATGATTTGGTCGTCGTACATCTTAGCTGTAGGGAAAACCAGAAAAAGAAAAAGCTATCCCAAAATGCACGACGGAATTCGTCTTGACAACTACAGCTAGTTAGTCATAACAGCGTAGAGTAAAACCATGCTACCTATCCGATTAATAAGTCGAAATTTAAGCGGCCAATCGGCATATGCGCAAACTCCAATCCGTATAGATTGACCTATGAGAATTGAAAACAGGCTAGCTGGCGTGTGGTTGAGGTTCACCTGGAGGCCGCTCCTCACGTCAGAAAGTAACAAATCACGTGATTCGTTTGTATCGGGAAGGCCGACTTTTCTATTTCCGGGATCATCCTGGCTATTACCTTGACTTAGTTTGCGTAACTTTGACCCCCCAATTCGAGCTATGGTAGTATGTAGGGCATGAATCTAGATCGGAGTTAAGGAAATTTAAGAAGTGAGGATGTGTGTGCGTGTTGAACTAACCTTCGCGCCATCCAGTAGAGATCGCAGCATGAAGCTTTCGAGTGCAACAATTATCTTCGCCGATAGAGCATGCAGGCATCCGCTTTCAGGCTGTTCACATTGATTTTGGCGAGGGAAAAGGCGATCGCCCCCAGACCCCTTCTTCCCTGTCGAATTTCCTTTTCCCAAGTCCTGGTATATCAGAAGATCGTTATCAAATCATGAAAGTATGTGAAATTTTTACCCTTTGTGGAAATTGAAAAAGAACCTCTTGTGCCCATGTTACCGGAGCTATCCTTTTAGCCAACTCACGCCAGGTCATGACTGCCACCATGAATTCTTCATGTCATGGATGGCGATGCTCGATGTCATTTGTCTCATTGAGCCCCGTAGCTGTTGAGGCGATTCACTTGAGGCTGGGCTGCGAAATGGAATCGGCCCGTCACTAAGGCTGCTGATGCAAATACGTACTGGAAGCGGATAGCAGAACAATGGATGGGATTACGAAGTCGATGGACAGGTGGTTTCTTAGGGCGAATGCCTAATTTAATCTTTTAATCGATCTGGTTCTATATTCGTGTTTCGTGGTCGACATTAGCTGCATAAACCGATTTTAAATGCGTCACACCCCACGCCATAAACTCGCAAATATTGCTTATAATCTGTTTGTGGATAGAGTGAGATCAACACAAAAGTTAAGAAAATAACAAATATCTATCGCGAAGGGAACGACGTACCTTATTGCGTCGGACAGCAGCATTAAAATTTGAGGACGCAAATGAGGAATCCGTTAATTTGAGTCGGCCCCGATGATGGACGAGCTTTCTAGAATAAAAGCATCCGCCATGTGGATGTATGACCTGACTAAATTAAACCCTGCTCCTTGCTGACGTCTGACCACAAGCTCTCAATTACTAAATTTACAATCTCTCGGCCCTCTTGCAGTAAATCGGATGCTGTGAAAACAATTATTCAGATAGACCTTTCTCGTCAAACGCTCCAATTCTGGTGGTGCTGTTGATCATATTTTAGTTCTTCGCTATGGTTGTTTCCTTGTATTCGATGACTTTTGAATTAACATAACTAGCAATAACAATACTTATTATGCCAAGCCTGAGTGAACTATGAATATTAAATGTGTTGATATTGGCTCCGTGTCACATTGAATTGGCGTCGGACAACCAGTGTGGTCGTTGGTATTCCCAAAGTATGGATACGACTTTAGTTTGCTATGGACCACGATAGCAGAATTGGTAATAAAAGTGTTGCTTGTGCTATTTTCTTCCGGGACCAGGGTATGGAGGGGCGGGTGGAAGTTGTTTCTAATTCGTTAGATACTAGGTGTATAGACCAGGTTCATTTAAATAGATGGGTTCCCCAAAGATACTGAGGTTGCGTCCGTAATTGCCGGGGTCCATGGAACTAAGCCAAAGGTCCAGGCACACTACGCCAATCTTAGTTTGTTCACACGGGAGCCCGTATCGATAAGAATTAGATGACGGGACGAAGCGGGGCCTCTTTTGATCCGAATACCAATTTGACATGGTCAGATTCGAGATTCGAGTCTTCACGTCACTCGCACCCGTCAGGACACTGGCAGCGGTACCAATACTCAGTTGGGAAAGGATGTGTCAGCGTTGGAAAGTCATACTGCTGTACCTGCAGCGGTACCTGCAGTCGTCGTGTGCACATTACATGTAGTTATAGCAGCAGCAGTGATAGGTGTATATTGGCGCAAGCCCGCCACCATGCTACTAAGTTGTGTTCCCGGGTTGTATTCCACTACCCCGTGAGAACGCAGGACCCTTGACTTGATACTCCAAACATTCAGAATCTTGCGACCCATTATTCCCACCTTTGCTCCGACTTAGCTTCGATTCCTTTGCATCAGGCTGAAAACCTCATCCGACCCAACTTTCCCTACAGTGCGGAAGGCGCGGGATGGAAGGGAGCCTGGGTCCGAAGAAGTTGGCTCGGGATAGGCCTCTCGACAATGTCTCAGCGTTAGCTTCAAAGTTGTGGATCAGTGAGGCCTTGACACACTGAGAGTGGCGACACAGTCAGGGATTTAATTCACCTTCGCTGTATCATAGTAAGGAAACCGTACCTTATTTGTCCATTGGAGTTGCTTAATAAAATATTTGTCCTGAGGCACCAAGGACCAGGCTCCTCACTGGGCACTGACGACGCAGCAATAAGGGACATATCCCTGTAACCTACCTTCGTGACAGCGACGTTGTGTGAGCGGTAAAGGATGTGTGGGTAGTGACAGAAGAGAAGTCTAAGAGTGTGAGTGGATACTGACAAAAGTACGGATGACTAGTGCCTTCGAGGCTGAACTTTCACTGACTTGTTTCGTCTAGGCCGAGACCGAAAAAGTATGTTGATCATTGCACTTTTGGGAAAGATTCAGAGGTTACTTTTGAGAATGCGACGCGCCGCTGTTGGTAGTTAGCTGTATTCGAAGCAGGTTGTCATTTTGACTGCCGTGATTGCCGAACCTACCTCGAATAATAGGAAATTTGTGTCAAAGTGTGACTTTCATGTATATTTTTATCAACGGCATCGTCAACAGCATTTTAGGAGGGGCAAATGCACAATGCCAATTAGATGCAGCGTCGATATTTTGCCACTTTCGTCCTGAGCTGCTGCTTTAATAGTCGTCCACAAGTTGTGTCCCAAGAGTAAAATACGATGGTACGAAGGCTATATTCATCCGTTGCTTCATCCTACCTCGCATAAACATGATATCCTCTTCAGCGTAGAAACTTGTACCGCTACAGCAGCCTTTAAGCTAAATTGGTATCAGCACCTACAGTCATTTATGAACTGTCGGGGACATACATGTGGCTTCTTCCGTCATTTAAATATTAACTTGACTTTACATTTGCCGATACATAAGGTAACTCTATACATGAGTTGGCAAACACTTTCATGTTAGGCTTGGCGGGAAAGGTTGTAGCAAAGGATAGGAATGATGGTGGACACAAGTTGCTTAATTCCTTATTCGGGATAATGTTGGTATCGGGAGCGTGTATACCTGGATGACGCTGCAAGATTGGTGCATTTACATTGGCTTGGGAAGAGTGTATTGTGAGGTAGCCATAGCTCACTTCCCCCGCAATGTGACAGTTGAGCGGGGAATATCGAAGGTACCGAATGGGGTGAAAGCTGAGTCACTGCATAGACCTCGCTCCCTACTCATTATCGAGAGAGGGAAAGTAGTTAGAAAATCGATCTGTATGCACAACTCATGTCTGGGATGGCTTGATAATCGAGAGGAACAAACGAATTGTGTTGTGTACGTAGTTATCCGGCAGCTAACGTCATTGCACCCGATTGAGACTTGCTTGTTCAACACATTTCGTACTATTTTGTGGGGAGGACAGGATCAAAACGAATGAAATGCTTCACGTGTGCCGACCTGGACTCACTGCAGCTCGGCGAAGTGCCATAGTAAGAGACTAGTTGAGGATGCGTCAGTGAGAGCAAAAGCATATTCAACACTGTGATTTTAATCACCGATAGCTGTCTTAGAATTGTACCATTCCTTCTGACAAAATAAAACATATTCGAGACATCGGCATCTCTGCTCTTTCAATCACTAGCCTAGTAATCCGCATCTAACATGGAGCTGCATAGAACCATGTCGAGGTTCCATGTCGGCAGTGAGTTTGAGTGGCAAAAGATCTAACTCGCTCGATGTTACCCAAAACTGCCTGGTACCGGAGCCATGAACGCCGGGCTATATACGAAGACAATAGAGGATCATGATGATGTAGATGGTGCTTTCGACTCTATAATGGCGAGCTGCACAGCTGTGCATTACTTAACTCGAACGGGTAGCCTGGGTTTAGCCTTTTCATGTGCATCGTTCCGGGATTTCCCTATGAATTGACCATGTCACTCGTGATTATGAAGATGCTCCAATTGGTTTGGTTTGGAGCAGCAAATTTATTGATTCCTCACAGACGCTCATTAGCTGGTGTTTTCAATTGGCAACTGATTGGATTTACTGAGGGATAGTCATCTGATTGATAGCCTGGCCAATTAAGGGAATGATAATTATTGACAAACTAGTTGATGAATTACGGTTGGTTTGATGGAGATCCTGGCCTCTTACCAGGGCACAAACTCCTCGTCGTGCGCGCACACCCAGACTATTCTACGTAGCTCCTGGTCGGGCTTGTGCATGGTATTTCTATGCAAAAACTAACTATTGTGCATCAGGAAGATTATTCTTATAGCTTTGAAGGCGTGACATACCCAGGCTATTGGCCGCTATTAAGACCTCGTGTAAGCCCAGCCCGCTACCAGGCGATCCACAGACAGTGCTGGCAAGGACCTAAAACAGTAGTGACCCGATATCCGGAGGACTTGATGCACAGTGGCTTTGCCGTTGTCGCCATCATGGAAACCAGTAATGCATGTGTGGCAGAGTTGAGGATGAGCGTGGAAATTAGCGACGAAGGGAATACTGTTGTCGATGACGGTCGACTCCTTCAGCTCCAGATGAATGTGCGTGCGTACGTGGGTGAGGGAACGAAGGACAGTGTGTACGCGCGATGCCGTATAGAATATGAGTTTGGGGGAGGGGCCGCGGCGAGGAGGGGGAGCAGTAGGCTTGTGAAAGCGAACATCAAACTGATCAATATGAGTGAGGCTTCCCCCAAGGATGCAGCAGCCACACTGGCCCCCCGACTCTAAGAGAGTGCAAGGGTCTTCTCATGCCGCGGCAGTCAAGCCAGACTAGTTCCACCCTGCTGCCAGGTACCCAGCTAGCGCGCAAGCGATCTCCCATATCAAAAAGAATAATCCCATCTCATATCCTGAGAGCGTCCTTGCCCCCATGCTGTCAATCATCCAGTCCACCTTTTGTAGATCAAATAAAAATTATCTCTATCAGGGGTCCCTTCATCCAACCACCCTCCCCCATGACACCCACCTTTTGGTCTGTCCGCCCGGAAGTCTTCCCACGTATCCGATTGCCGTTTTTCTTTTTACACACTTGCCTGTCTATTCTGGGGGAGGGTAGGGTTAGTCCTTCAAGATTGAGGTCGCTATGTAATATATTATATAGCTATCAGTACCTCCGGCTCGTTGAGACAACGTCAGCTAACAAGTGCCCTCGTCTCCAACCAGGTTCGTCGACGACCTCAGGCCATCGCCATACACCTTGGGACTTTCATCATCACTGTTCGTGAAAAGTCTTATGTATTATTATCACCATTATTAGACGCGTCGACTAAGTCGTTGTCAAGTCATTTTCTCTCTATCACTATCTTTTCTCAGAGTCACTCCCTTTGCCTTCGCCACTCCTCCCCTTCAATTCGACCCACCGTGGAATCCCACTCTTAAAAAGATTTCGGCATTCGCTCCTTCTCCCGTGAGCCATCATTGCTTATCACCCGAAATAAACATACCATATTGTTCAGGTATGTCATCAAATCCAACAGTTAGGGTCTACAGCACTCAAATACTGATTAAATACCTGCAAAGTAGGTTACTTCTAGTAGTACTACAACATGGAACATACCTACCAACCTTCGCCTGTTGGGCAGCCCTCACCCTTCTTCTACTACAATCCCGAACCTAAATCTGACAACCGACTTCATGGTCATTTCTCGCCAAATCCGGGTATGAATCAAATTCAAATATTCCCTCAGCATTTGCAGTCTTCTGTACCACCAACCCCTGTATTTTCGAGGCCAACATCCTCGGAATCTCCAATGTCTGTACCATCCAACATTTTTAATCAAAACTATGCCCCAAATGTAGGGCAAATGTCTTCACAACCCCACTATCATAAACAATCCAACTTTGTGCTGATGGACCAATCAACCCGTTTCATGGTAGACTCAGGGATCCAAGAGCCAGACATTTTCTACTATCCTTCAACCCCACCTTTATCTGCTCCAAACAGTGCTATCAGCAGCCCGGCAAGCCTCGAAAGTTCTGCAACACCAATAAACACCTTGTATTTCGGCTTAGACGGAATGAAGGATGAGCTGGGAGTGGACAGAATGCCAGGTAACGATTGGTTAGGTGCTTCATCACCACTAACACCAGGTCAGTCCTATCGTAAACTTTTCAAATCATAAAATTTAATGCTAATTTATAAAAGTTTTTCTTCACCCAACTTCCCTCATGAGCATGGAGACTGGATGTAAAATTATTCATCCTCCAAGTTCCATGCTATCACCATCACCATCACCATTCCCGACCCATCCCATTGGATCGGAGCCAGATCTCGATTTCTGTGACCCCCGGAACTTAACAGTTATATCTGGTTCTTACGCGACAGATCCTGACCAAAAGCCCATACATGTTCAAGAATCATCCCCTTTACCACCACCTTGCAACAATGTTGACGTTGATTCCAATTCCAGCGGTGTTCAAGACAAAATGAGCCCTTCAGAATCTAAAATGACATGCTTCCAACCTAGGCAGTGTATTCCAATGTACGACCAATTCCCCGAAGTAAACGGAGAAGATGTTTACCTGGGAGATCTCTCAAGGTTTCCCCACGAAGTATACAATTATGGTACTAAGCGCCAACGTACCGGTCATGTGCAGGAAGGTTCAGCGATTCAAGGTGACAGCTTTGATTCCATAATAACTCTCGGTTCTGGACACGAACCTGAAACAGTTACTATCTGCGATCATAGCTTTTCTAGCAGCCCTCACTCAGTTCTTGAATGTGAGACTAAAAAAGAAAAGAGGACCAGAAAACAACCAAAATCTCGGACTGAAAAGGGAATCACAGATAAGACTTCGGATAATGCAAGAAAGGCCACTTCAATACCCGGGAACAACGGAACTGAGCCTGCGACAATAAACGACGGACACAGCGGGCAGACAGCTATTCAATCATCTAGCGAAAGGTGTCAAATCAACGCATTCAACAGTGACATGAATATCGAAAGGCCACTTGTAACACGAAGGGGCCGCAAACAATCTTTAACAGAAGATCTGTCTAAGACATTTGTATGTGAGCTATGTAATCGTCGCTTCCGTCGTCAAGAACATCTAAAGCGTCATTATCGTTCTTTGCACACCCAGGATAAACCATTTGAATGCCATGAATGTGGAAAGAGATTCTCACGAAGCGATAACTTATCTCAGCATGCACGAACTCACGGAAGCGGTGCTATTGTTATGGGCTTGCTCGAAGATGGTGAGATGATAGGCGATGATGGCGACGGTGATCAGTTGCAATCTTTGGGGTCAGTTCTATTTCGTGTCGCCGCGGCAACGTCTGGATCAGATACAGATCGCTCGATTCAAGATTCCAGTGTCTGTACTGATACACAGGCTCGAAAGAAGCGCAAGCGTGTTGAATAATGGCTTGGCATGTCAGGTTCTGAACCAAACCACGGTACGACTGCAATGAACCTCACGAACACGAAATTCTTTAATATCAAATTTTTGTCTATTGTGACTGGTCGCGAGTTTGGATAGGGTGAAGTTGGTGTCTATGTTCAATTATCACGGTGCAATGATAGATATGGGGTTCAAAAGTCAGATTTGAGATTAAACCTCCATGTTTCAATTCTTCCTGTATGCGATTTTGTATTAAAAATTTGTGGGATTACATAAGGTTACAGCGTGATGAAGCTTGGTCCAAACGGTTATACTTGTATTTCTTCTGATTAGATAAGATGTAGTGCACTAAATTTCGACAGAAGCTTGTAATGTAAAGGCCAAAATCCTCGCGTGAGTCATGTTAGAAACCGTAGAGTTATGCTGTTACACCGAACGCACAAGTTTAACTCTAAGATTTTGATCAGAAAAAACATTGTCACTCGCTAATTTTCGATGATGTCACCTTTCGACACAAAATAAACATGAGTCAATATTGACGGTCGTGTTACAAGACAGATAAGAAATATAAATTGTTTCATTCACATTGCCTATCAACTATATCAAACATCACCCACTTAAATTTGCATTTGTATCCTTTACCACTCACAATAGTATAACTCTCCTGCTTCTATGATCTCATAACTTAGTCTGTTTAGAATCATAAGGCACTGATCTCACAACCCAAAACAAAATGGCCGAAGAATTCAGGTTGAAATGTTTTGGGAATGAAGTAGACCCATCAATTTATGTGCAGGTTCCACATGCACAGGATGCTGCCAAAGTCAATGGCTTTGCAGAGTTGAGATGATTAGACATGATCAACAAGGGTTTGTTGTGAGTAAAGGTTAATGAACAACTGTATTACCTAAGTCTCTATCCGGGGAGGGAGCTGAGATGGCTTGGTGTAACCTCACGAGCAAAAGCTTAGACTTCTTGTGAGACCCCAAAACCCCGACATTAGCTTCGGGTTTAATGCAATTGGAAATCTAGAATACTTTCCATGATAACATGCTCTGGCTCTACTCAAAAACGAGACCATCTTTCACGTGATATCAGGTCTCTCGCAGGAATCTAGTATCTGACGAGAAACTTTTAAATGCTCTTTATCGGGCACGGCCATCCAAAGATCGAAGAAAAGTTTCTTTTTTCGCTTTTATCATTGTAAGGGAAGGCGTGTCATGAAATTATAATCTGCTGAGTGATTACTCTCCCATGGCTAGTTGAGCAATTTCTTTCTGTCAAAGTCACAAATTCTGATCGCTTAAATGCTTTGCCTCGGACAGTACTGTGGAAAATTAATAGTATTTAAACATCAGGCTCTATTTAAAGACCAATTTATTGCTAGATCCTGCCCCTCTGGCACTGGCCTATCCATAGTTTCTGTGTAAAATGACCAATGAGTAGAAGGAAAGGTAATAATGATTGCTATAATAGCTATCGTTGTCTAGGGTAATATATTGGTGCTTTCAAAGAGCGTTTCTATTGCCAACTCCTGAGGTAGTATTGAAATCCTCAAATCGTAAATTGTCATAATCAACGCATTGTAATTTGTTTGCTAGAACTGGCGGTGTAGCTTATCACAGTTAGAGAGTGTATTCTGGAATGCAGTGGTGGTTCGTTACAGATGCGATCGCGACAATATAATTGAGGGTTGTATGAAAGTTTGGCACTTCTATGGGTCTCAATTGTGTGGAGGTTGATTCAATTATTTGATGATAATTGCTTGTTATGTCTATCTACAGAGAATGTGCTACAGTTCTACATGTGCCCGTAATCGCTTAGATTTGGTGAGTGGGCTATCCCCTCTTTTACTTCGCTCCCGTGTTCCATCACATGAGATGTAATAACTGCTCACCACTAAGTCCGCAGATTGAACAGCGTTAGATCACAACACAACGAACCGTTGGAAAGACGATGCAATAATAAAGGCGTCACGTCTTCTAGCCTTCGACCTCTGTATAGTTTTCAAGAATGCCCACCTAAGGATAATTAATGCACGTCACATCCAGTACAATGTAAATGATTGCAGGTTGGTGCAGATAAAAAATTCTGCATAGATACTGAAAACCTTAATTCAATTATCAGATGATCAAATAGTTTTTCGTGAAGTAATAACAGGAAGGTTTGTCCTGAAATTCTTTATTATCCTAAATATGGTCTTTTATCAGTCAACAGTTGTACACGGCATTGTATGTAACCTGCGAACACGTGAGTATTTACAGTTTACGCATCGTCTTAATAGATTTCGTCAGCTTTTTAAGCTTCTCTTTCGTGGAAGGGTTCACTCAATCATCCTCTTACAATTTCACTGTACCTTCCCAAGTGCCCTATGGAACATAAAGAAAAGGGTTTCTTAGAGTGTTATCCCGCGTGATTCAATATTTTTATCCTTTTCATGGCGTTAAATGCTTTTTTATTCAAGTTTTTTAACGTGCCAGGCAGAGGATCTATCCCTTGACAGCCGTACACAGTGTCAAGAAACTTTAACATATAGAAATTAGGTAGAATTCTCATACAATGGATCACATTCGCTAACAATACTACCCGAGTCACCAAGACTTGCAGCCCAACCTCAACCGTGAACATCCGACTGAGTAAAAAGCAAAAACCTTAGTATTTTCTACGCTGCTTAAATATTTGTCTTCCTTTGCAGATGGAGTATAAGGGTCTACTAGTTTCGAACCAGCGGCCATTCTGCCTCAAGTGTACATATGGCCGAGATACGTCCCTGCGCTTAGTAAAGTGCTAAAAGTTTTTACATTGGTGTAAAGCTCAACATAAGAAACAGCACAAAATATACGTGAAATAATGAGTGGCCAAAAAAAAAGAATTCTTTCGATTCTAACTGTGAAAAGATGGAATATCGGAAAATTTTATACCTGACGTATTTCTTTTTTCCATGGAAAAAGCTCTTCAAGCCAACAGCTATGAGTTGAGCCCTAGAATACTGGACATTTAGATAGGATGAAACACATTGTATTTTGTGTGATATATTATAACTTTACTTTCTGGTTAGATAAAAGTGTAAATAATAAAGCGATAAGCCCTTCAAGTGCACATATAGAGCACCCCAGACGTAAAGCTTTAGCCTGATGCATAAAGTTGTTCAATGTAAATGATTTACAAGACATTCAATTACGGCGCTAATCCAAGGGGAACATTCTCAACATTTGTCAATGGTGTCCCCTACGAACCTCCGGCTCTCACTGTAGAATGAAGGCCTGTGGGGGTATTACCGCTGGAAAGAAGTCGTGAAGGGGGCATAGTTAGGACTACACTACCCGAGGTATAGATACTCCCGGCCTGTAGGCAGAAAGGACCTACATGTCGTTACACAGTCATAGACTTCATAGGACAATAAACACATACTACAATTCTCGTTCGTGGGTATATATCCAAGATAGTTTCAACCTCCGTATTAATGTAATTATATTTATATCAAACTGTCCTTACACACCGGGATTAAAAATGAAAGGTTGCGAGTATAAATCGTTTAACATTCTCACCAATCGAGCGAGGGACTATTTTAATACATACACGACCTACTGACTGTGCTAGCGTACATGGTATTCATCCGGCACAAAATGACATACTGCTATCTATCAAATAACCGATTACCAGCTCCAGTTTAAATAAATTTATTGCCAGATCCAGATTCTGACCCTTAAAGTTCACAATTCCCATGTCATCATACACTGTCTCTCTTACCAAAGCAAGGTAAAATCTTTTACTTCAATTGTTCAACCAATCTGTCAGTATTACCCTCTTTACGTGTTCCTACCTGACTCTGCTGATAAACTCCAGAAGAAATCAGAAATTAAAGTGTTCCAGCAATAAGATTACGGGATCCCCTTCTGATTTATGAACACTAAGCATCTATAATCCCGTCTAGAGCAAGATTCCCTACATTAAAAGGCTTTCCATGTTGTGGGATTTGAAATTAGGCCTGGTGATCATAACTACTAGTTGAAGTTCTTTGACCGAGCCCTTCGATTTCGAAAACATATTATGCAAGCATATCGCAAGGTTCTATTTACAGCAAGTCGTATTAAAGGATCATCATCGATTATTCGAGGTATTAGCCCCTACTTCTACAAAATAAATTACAAGGAGCTATCCTCGCAACTCCTCACTGAGACATACCTCACTAAAGGGATTATGAAGAAAATAGTCCCACATGTCCAACTAAGGATGAACACACAGTTCAAGCAGTGTTCCCAGTCTATGGCACCATTCTACCCCCCGCTCTACATCGTGAAGCTGGTTAATGACCAGCTCAAACTTGACTTAATCGGTTTTATAGCCGCGTAAAACTCCGGATCGCGGCAGCAGATCTTCCCAATGCACTCTATGCATGTTGGGATACCAGCTATTTGCGCTAGATTCGTCTATGTGTCTAGTCTGAGCCCTCTAATGTTACCACTTCTGCACGCTCATCTAGCCGCAGAAAATCCCACTGCTTTCGGTGTAATTGATAGATTCTCATACTACTTTACATCCAAATAGTGGCAACCTTCTTGCCCCACCATGGCTTCTTCAAATTTTCAGATGAAACTATCACAATCGTTCGAGTGGATGCTAGATACGTCACATAGGAATAACCTCAACCACAAGTCGGCCGAGACTCACAACCAATCGGAAAATCGGCAAAGGTTAGCGACACTGAAACCATCCTTGGTGCTGAAGAATTAGAAGTGGCCCTTAACCAATTGAATTATTATAACCTCCAAAGTAACTATTTGCTTTGACGGGAAAGAATCTGCTCAGTATCTGCTCACAGAGACGCCGATAGAATCCAGCCTCAAAAAAATCACACTGTTGGTTTTTGGAATTATAACGTTGTGCTCGCGCACAGCAAAAGATTAAAAGTTGCGTCATAGTTAGCTCAGCCTATCTAATTTAATCAACGCATGAGCGAATGCAAATATAATCGATAACTTAATACGGGCTCGCCGAAAATCCAATACTCAATGAATGTAACAAGAATTGGGAGGGATTAAGCTCCCTAACGTACCCTCGAGCGATATCCACCCAGCCAGAATTCCTCCCACCCATCTGCATCTGCATCCACAGCCTAGTATCTATCCTTTCTCGTACTACCGTATTCCTCATAACGGGATTTGTTCCCGGTCGCCCAATATAGACATCTTTAGTATGTACTCCACAAGAACTAACTTCCCCATCCTCAAGGTCCAAACTTTCCTCATTCTGATCGGTGCCTCTATATTAAAAGGGGATCAAAAAAAGGCATGGAGTCATCTTCTATCCGAGAAAAAAACTTATCAAGGGTTAATGGCTTGAAGTACCAGAAGGTGGTACCGATGCTTAGTAAAGCTAGAGACCGACCTATTTGGTGGTTAGCTGCGTTTGCTGCATCGTTCATTTACTCTTGGATACTCTATACTTCGGTCGGATCGACTAATCACTAGACTCTGTTATGAGTCAGCCTGCCATTGCTCGTGATACATCATGTGATAACCACATGTAAAGTGTACACAGTGGACCTTGTTAAATGTTCATATAGAGGGCAAAGATTAAACACATGTCCGTAATACCCTCTACGAACCTATGAGCGCAAATTCTCTAAGAAACAAGAGTAAGTCGTTCCAAAACAGCCAAATCGGGTTTCCCCAACTAAGATTATTGTCAGAAGGAGCGGTTCTGAGCTGATTTTGGTCAGAACTCCTGGATTATAGAGATTTCTCGAAAACACAAATCACGAGAAAAATAATCAAGAAAACACGAGACGATATTAGTTCAAAATGAAAATCGCATTCCTCTATAAACCAAAAATTATTTCAGCTCTCAATATTTAACGCCGAAAAATCCATCCCACGATCGGCGACCATTTCTTCGAGTATTATTGTCGACGTGTTATTATCGGAGGACGCCAAATCTAGGCTGCTGATTAAGAATGTCCACTAAAGAAACTAAAGCCTGCGAGTAAAGATGGAAAAGATTCTGGGCCGTAGAAGCTTTTACAGTGCTTAGAATGTAGGATTCAAAGTTGAGAGACAATCACCTAGAATATTGGCAGAGATAGCCACTTCAAAATTCTTACAGCTCGCTGAGGCGCTGAGCAATGACTGGGCTTCACTTATTAATTTGCTGAGCTCTTTTGGGGTGTTCACTTGTTCTGAAGTCTGTATAGACTGAGCTAACCGGCACTTAGCCCTACAGTCTAGTGATGTGAGCCTGTACGACGCTAGGCAATTAAAAAAACCTTCAAGCTTTCTAGTACTATATCTGACTCTACAAGTTCGCGGCAGCTAGTAAAGAAAGCGATGTTGGAAAATATGATGCCTGATACAGCGAAAATACGCTTGTGCTCAGGCCTTGTTAGTGTTACAGGTTAGCGAAATCATCTTGCACTTACCAAAGCTTCCTGAGCAGTTTCAGTATCTCATTTTAAACTCTTTATTGCAGGAGCTAAACGAAGCTTTTGTGGCATCAAGCTGAGCTAAAATATAGATATGCAGGTACAATGAGTCAGCCTTAAGCTTCAAATTCAAGATAACCACACGATTGTCCCTTCTAACAATGTGTAGTTTCAGATGATTGCCAGAAGCATGCCATTGGTAGAATAGCTTTTCAGCAAACAATTGGAAATTCAACCAAAATTATTCTCTGAGTTCTTCGTGAGGGTATGAAGAACTATGCAATCAGATTTCCTGCTATAGCAACAAGTTTTAGACTCGGTCTCACAAAACACACCGTAATTCGATCACAATTCTTTAGGCCCTAGATCCCGTAGAAAGAATTCCGTAGTTTAATAGCTGAATAAGGGCAAAGTTTTTCTTTGATGTAATTCAATTTCTAATCTGACTGAATCTATTTTTTTTAAAGACTTATCACTAAGATTGACTTAGAATGCTTGTTTCATCCTACCATTGCGAAACCTGTTTTGAGGGTCATATTTTTATCATTCAAAAATTCTAGAACAATGCAGTAAGGCAGCGACCTTTTATTTTCATGTTAAGCTAAATTTAAGTACCGAAAAACTAGGTAGTTACTGTGGAGTGGCCGATTTTTTTAGAAAACACTATTTTTGCCAAAAAGCTACGCTGTATCACAAGCTACCTTTATCATTAATTTGATACTGTGAATCTTATTTATATATCTTCTTAACCCCATTCTCTTCATTTAAACTTTTACACTACGACAGGGCGGGTGCGGGTCAATCCAGCGGTTTCGAAGCGTCGCGAAATGTGACAATGGCGACAAACAAAAAAGGCAGTGGAGTACACACAGCTTCAAAGTATAAATACCATGAAATTTCGAGAAAATTACTAAAGAAGCTTAGATTACTAGTGATAGGTGAGATGGATGAGGACTTACCCGCCATAGAGAAGGCCAGTGAAGTCCTCAAGGCGCTCAAATGTCAGAAGAAGGCTTGAAAAAAGCTGTCTCAAATTCCGTCTCAGGTCAAGGAGAGAATGATGGCGCTCGAGGAGGTTCCCAAGAAGAGCCTTGCGGATCCCATACGAAGAGCTATTCCAGGAGCAGTTTCGATAATTCTCATATCAAGAAGCTATGCGCTGGTCGAAGCTCGGCATAAAAGGATGATAGCAGTCGGAAAAAGAATTGGTGGCGCACAAAATTCGCGTTCTGAGGGGCTGCTTCAAAAAGCAAAGCATCACATACAAGTCTAATACATGACTCGCCAGATGCAAAGCAAAGACACCGAAATTTCAGTCCAGTCAGCATTCCAGAGAGATTCGACGCTTAATATGCTAAAATCAGCCGACTTAAAAATAGTGTGGAAAGACTTTCACGTTGGGGTTTCCAGCGTCCTCCTACGGAGTAGAATCGAAGGCGGTAGAGATGCTGACAAGAACGCCATCGTCAAAGAGATTGTGATAGCGACTGGGGCTCAGATTCTTGGCTTTGTAAGTATCATAATACGATAGCTACATGCTGGAAAGGGACACCAGTGATTCAAGAAATATGGCTGCAACTAAGGATCAATAGTGGTTAGCCTCACATTGGAGGCAATGCCAATTAAAGCAGTTCCACAAGGCCCCGTCATTAACACCAAGCTGCTCACCACTCAAGTATAATCGCCACAGATCCAGCCAAAGTAGTGCTTCAATTACAGTTAGTTTGGACACGCAGGCATCGTGTAGAAACAAAGCCCGGTCTGGTGAATGTGCTGGTGCTCAATAAACCTAGGACTGTCTTAGGAAAAGGGTTTCTTACGCGAAATGCGGCGTAAAATATCGTTCGTGGCAGAAAGCAGCGTGTCGGGCCTAACAGACCTACAATGGGATTGTGGAGAATGCTCGGATGGAGCTCCCATCGAGAACGGCGGAAATATGGAGAAACAAGACAAAAGTGGCACCAAAGCGATCATTCGGAACAACTGATGATCAGGGGTTTTCTTTGGTCACTATTAAGTGTCGTGATAGTGATGGCCAGGATTACGATGCATAAGAATAATGATGACTGAGAGTGAAGGAAGAACTTTCCAGGTGATTCCATGATGAGTAGAGGAACACCGAAGCACTGTAAGCAAATTGTTTAGATTATACTAACAGATGGGGGACGCAAAAATATTCCGTGAACTGTATTAGGAAAATAAGGCGAGAGTCTAGCTACCTCAGGTGTGTATTTAAGTAGCGCTCTCTATCTCCCAAATCCTCATATTTCTGAATATCAAAAATATTAGCAGCTCTCACCGATTCATCGATAATCATCCCTAAATCTTCTGCCAACAACTGCTGCGTGAGCTCTTAACTTTATAGTAGTAAGAAGACTGAAGAACCAAAAAGAGGGCCCGGATGTGTGCGTGAGGCAGCTATAGTCCCAGCGACACCAAAAATCCCCTCGACAGAAGCTTCACCATCAGAGCTGAATTCTTGAATACTTCGACGACCCGCACTGAATGAGGAGGTGCCTTCTCTTTTAGACTTCTCCTACCTTTTGTCTTAACGGAGGGGGGGCTAACGAAATTTGCGGAAAGTTTATGATATAATTGATGAAATGAATGTCATCATCATGAAGCTGGCTCGGTTCAGAATGGAAGTAGATGGAATTTTGGGGTTGAAAGTTTTTTCCCTCAGCAATGTGGGTTGCTGTCCTTTTGGTAGGAGGGAGTAAACTACCCGAGATATAGATACTCCCGAACTGTAGGCAGAAAGGACTTGCATATCCTTTCATAGTCATAGACTTTATAGGACAATAAATACACACATACATCACCCACTACAAATCTACGACGCTACGTATACCCGCAAGGAATAAATAAAGTCGAAAAACACAAAGCCTGGGTCTTGGCTTACGTGGAACTATTGTTCTAATGGGGTTATACATCTTGAGGAAGGACAGGCGGCTGAGATATGGAGCGAGAGGGGGAACAGATATCTGAAGACCATGCTGGGACTGACGTTTTCGAGGGTTTTTCAACTTTAGAACGTTGTGGGCTCCAAGACCAAGGATTTAGCTAATTAGCCAGGAGGGCTTCTTTTGTCGATGAGTGAACGGTACTCCCCAGAGCTCTGGGCGGCTCAAAAGAATTTGGGCTAAGCTACCACACAGCAATCACGCTCGGCCAAGACTTTTCTAATATTTGAGCACGACCTTCGGGTGGGAGTTTGAAGGAGTCTAGAAAGGCAAAGTGTGAACTTCCCGAGGTACCCACGAGTATGCAGCGCCCAGCTGTCTGGCTTCTTCGAACGCTTCAGAAGGGTCACTATGTCTTCGGATCTAGTCCTAATGGCGGTATTAGAAGAGCCCTGTACCCAGTGATTTTTACGATTTTTCCCGGCTACAATACACCCGCAAATAGCCATCGTTTCGTTGGCTGTAGCGGGGAGATAATGGAGGGCAAAGGGCTCCTCTAAGTGTATGATCGGATGAGTACTTGTGAAGGGTGATACTGTTTGAGCGGAGCTGTATTAGAGGCATAGGAGGGGATTTATTTTTTGCATCAGATTTTAAATGCGTGTGCAGCTATCTAGCTATAACACGATATCAAAGAAAAGTACAGAATAGATGATTCAACGTAAAGGAAGAGCACTCATGCCCCTGATTTCATTTGCAAGTACCACTGCGAAGTTATGGCGGCTTTTTCTTCACCCCAAGTCAACTCTTATCCGTGAATACCCACCCAGGGGAACGTCTCAAAAACCCTGAGTTATCCAGACGTGCCTCCATCATCTTTCAACTTTCCTCCGCGCGAAATATGGTCTTAGGCGTTTCCTTCCCAAGTGGAGTAGGTGCCCAGGCTACTCAAACTATACCGGAGAACACCACCAGGAGGCGGACCACTACACCTTCCATCGTTTGCTAGTTTTTATAGT